TCTGCTGGGATTAAAGGCGTACGCCACCAACACCCAGCTTGATTTATATTTTTGAAATTGTGTATATATATGTTTCTGTGTATGTGCACATGAGTGTAGTGCCTGTGGAGGACATAAGTTGGCATCAGATCCCCTGGAAGTAAGAGTTGTTTGTGAGCTGTATGACATGGATTCCAGGAACTGAACTCTGGTCCTCAGCATCAAGAGCTCTTAATAGCTAAGCCATCACTCTAGCTCCCTTTTATATATTTTTAAACTTATACATGCCGCACCCCTGAGTGGTTTATATTTGTGCAATTGACCCTCATTGACACATTTTCACCCAAAGTTTTCCATCGACTGCAGGATGAAATACCATATTTTATGCATAACCCTCCATATCTGACTTGATTCAAATTTCTTTCCTTGTTACTGATTGATAGGCATTCTTGCTCTGTTTTCGTGGACTCATGTCTGAGTGCATCGCTAGGCTGGGGATTTGGGAGCTGAATTTGTGGCTGCTGTGACAGCACTGTGTTCCTTTCCCTGCTGGTGCTCATGCTAAAGTGACTGTCTGCCTGGTCCTTGGGTATGGATAGCCCTTGGTTTTAAATGTCATCCACAAAGAAGGACAGTTCCTGCTTTCCACTTTGCTGGTTGTCTAGTCCTTCCTTCCAGGAACTGTAATGGAGTGTGACTGTTTCTAATTTATTTATTTAGTGGGGTGGGGTTTCATGCATCTATCCCAAACTCATTTCAAATTCTTTTGATATTGAGAATGATCTTAAACTTGTGATCCTCCTGCCTCTGCCTCCCCAGTTCTGGGATTACAGGTATATGCCTCCATACCTGATGGCATCTGTGGAGTTGAAGATCAAATTCTGGGCTTCTCTTATGTTAGACAAGCAGTTCTCCGACTGAGCCTCATCCCAGCCTCAGAAATGTCTTCATGATGATACAGATGATACCTGTTCTTGTGTTAGGTGTATGATGTGTTGATCCTCCTGTGTGCTGGAAATAGAGCTTCCTTAAGAAGTGAATGTGAGCAGCTATCAGGGCCAGAAAAAACTAGAGTGGTGTGCCAAGTGCCACCCACACCTCAGCACATAACTGAAGTTCATCAGTCATTTCCGATGCAGTGGGAGCTGTAGCCCCCAGGCTGGGCAGCCAGCAGCAGACTGCCATCGCTGTAAACGTCTGAGCTTGATTGCCTGACTTGCTTAGCAAATCTCTTTGGAAAAGTAGGGTAGAGAGCACAAGTATAACTTTAAGTAGAAATCATTTCCAGTCATCTGGAAAATGTTTCCTGAATCATACATGATTCTTGCTTTTGAGAAAAAAAATGGAGCTACATTCCTTTTTTCCCTCCCTCCTCCCTCCCTCCCTCCCTCCCTCCCTCCCTCCCTCCCTCCCTCCCTCCCTCCCTCCCTCCCTCCCTCCCTCCCTCCCTTCCTTCCTAGCTGATTTTTAAGTGGTGGTCGTGGCGGTCCATGTTCTTAGTGATACACAGAGGGGTGATGTGGCTTCAGGATGGTGTGCCTGAAAACAAAACAAAGAAAAAAATAAAGCGGTGCACAGGGAACCTGTGTGTCCCCAGTCTCTGAACCACACCTGCACACCTCTGCCACTGAAGGCTTGTGGTAGAGCAGTGCTCCTGGGACTTAATGGGTGTTCTCACTAGGGTCTGAAAGGGGAAATTGGGATGCATTGGTGTATAGGGCTGTACAGGCTGACAGGTCTGGAATCAGGGCAAGCTGAATGAATGTAGGCAGGGTTGCTCTACTGGAGGCAGGTGTGGCTTTGTGGTTAAGAGTAGATGCAGAGGATCTGAGTTTGGCTCTTTGCACCCCACCAGGTAGCACACAACTGCCTGTAACTAGCTCCAGAGGGAGTTTATGCCTCTGAGGATACTGCTCTTAACACCCATGTGAACACACACTCATGCATAATTAAAATATTAAAAATAAGCTGGGTGGTGGTGGCACATGCTTTTAGTCCCAGCAGTCAGGCGGCAGAGGCAAGCGGATCTCTGTGAGTTCGAGGCCAACCTGGTCTACAGAATGAGTTCCAGGAAGGCCAGGGCTACATAGAGAAATCCTGTCTTGGTAAACTTTAAAAAAAAAGATTAAAAATAAATAAACAAACAAAATTGCCTTTTTGAGAAATCTGTCTTCTCTCTTTTCTCTCTTGAGGCCTTCAGCTGACTAGATAAGGTTCACTAACACTGTGAAAGGCCATCTACTTTTACATCTTCACATCTTTAGAAATACCTTCAACAACGTGTAGGCTGGAATTTAGCCAAGCAGCCAAATGTCGTCAAATTGATAGGTATAGTTACCACAGTAGATACCAGTCCCCAAGGTTCATCTACAGTTAACGTCACTTAGAGCCTGTCCACACAGCATAGCTGATCACTTATTCTATGTGGAAATAACCAGTGACCAAACAGCTCAGAGTAGGGGGCCAGCCTCACGGCACTGCCCACCAGCCAGTGACCAAACAGCTCAGAGTGAGGATCCAAGCCTCAGTCCTTAGGCACTTTCCATTTCTTTCCAGACTACGGATTTCGACAGGACAAGCTCAGAGTCCTCCCCGATGAGGGCTGCCAGCACATCCCGTTCCTCTGGCTTGAGGTCAGAGTTGACACTGGCCCTGCAAACTGTGGCTTATTCACTCCTTAGACCTGAACCCACGATGCAGGCTGTTCCGCACTTTGGGATCCTTCTGTCTCTACCTCCTGAATGTTGGAATTACAGGCGAGTGCCACCATACCAGGTTTATAGGGTACTGGAGATTATATCTAGGGCTTCATGCATGGTAGACAAGCTCTCTACCAACTGAGTACATTCCCAGCCCTTCATCAACTTAAACAAACAAACAAACAAAACCCCACCAAACTAAAAGGAAAAATTGGGTATTAAAGGTGGTTGCAGTGACAGTATCTACCCATCACCCCCACCTTTACCCTCTCAGCTGGGGTAACTTGTTGTCTGTTTTATGCTCAATTGGATCAGAAGGGGCAGGGGGACCTGGTTGTGGTCCTCACACAGTCTGGAAGCTCAAGGTCACATTGCAAAGCTGTTTGTCAAGGAGAAAACATGCCAAATACCTAACATCTGGAATTGTTTTATATTAATAATCAGAGTTTTTCTCGATAGCTGTAAGTTTTATCCCAAGGCCTGTGTACTTAGATCTTACTGATTATCTGATTACAAGTGACCCATTTAAGATGGCAAACTCCTAAGTTAGTCCAAAAAGAAAGTTAGAAGGAAGAAACAAGATTAGGGCTTTCCTTACAAAAAAAGAGTAATAATAAAGGAGTATTTCCTGAAGTCTATAAAGGCATGAGGACTTACATTAAACTAGAGTATAATTATTGTATTATTTAATGTTAAGCACCTTCTAAAGTGTGGTGTCTTATTCTAGTAAAATAAAATTTAACAAATTCTGCTTTGTTACAGCTTAACTGGTTAAAAATACTCTTAGAAAATTGGGATTAAAAGCAGATCTAACTTAAGCAGTTTTCTTTTTCAAACAAAGTATGAGTATATGCTTTACATATTTGCTTTTACTTAGAAAAAAAACTTACTTAGAAAAATACAAGTTGGGTGTAGTACCCTGTGGTGTAAACAGCTAAACCATTTTCTTTTTACTCTTCCTATGAATGAGCTAGTATATATTTATTGCCGGAGTCTTGCTATAAAATTCAGGTAAGGGGCTTAAATATACCCTAGAGTATTATTTAAAATTAAATTTGTTTCTTTCAAATAGAATACCGACCTTGGTCTGTGACATTTGGGAGAGAAATTAAAATATTAAAACTTTTATTGCCGAGTAAGCTGAAAATACAGTAAAGGTTAAGTAAACACAAGTCAGAAATACATATCTATATATATAGAGAGAATCGCTACCCCTGAAAGACAGGCCATCTACTGTTCTCTGCTGTGAGAGTTTTATCAGCACTTGTAATTCTACCTCAAAGGCAGGGCTAGTAGGCAGAAATGTAAACAAGTGCCCGCTTTGTTTACATAATGAAATATGTGTCGTGGTTTGTATTTCTTTATAGGTATCTGACAGCTGCATGGCTTGTTTCAAAGCACCGGTAGGGGCCAGCAGAGAACAGAATTGGCATTGAGATATGTTTATTTGATGTGTTAAATCCTCTTTAGACTTCTTTACTTGCCACAACACTCTCTTTAAGAAAATGAATTGCACACAGTGGAATAAAATATCCAATGTGTTCAGACTATGTTGGTGTATAGCTTTTCTGTCTAATCTGCATATATTTTTAATGGAATGTTTGCCTAGGCTATTTCTTGGCAGGATTTTAATAGTCAAAATATAAATGGCATCATTTAAAGACTGTACTACTTGGCTGCAAAACTCCTTAAAATTACAGAACAAAATAGTTGGTGACGGCTTCTCCTCGGCTTTTTTTTTTTTAATTTCCCCTTGAGGAGGTTGTTCAGTGTTTACAGCAGTGTTACGAGGCTCATTTTGTAGTTCAGTCTGTCAACTTTCACTTTCATAATTGTGGTTTGCTAAAATATTTATCTGTTTAATTTACCCCCCAAAGTTTTCATATTTCCAAATGTGTTTAACTGTTTACACTTACTCTTTAAAAACATATTACAGTCCATATTCTCAGCATTAACTAACCTGGCTAAATCCCTCAGTATGGCTACTATTTGGAAATTCAATCTTCAATTTGATACTCAATCACACGGGTTTTATTCCTACCCACTTCCTGTAATCGTATACCTTTGGGTGAAAATATCAGTGGTCAGGATCGCTGGGGAAAGTATAGGCACTGAGATTTCTGGAGTTAAATGTTCATTTTGTAGGGCTGGGGTAAAAAAAATACGGTTTCAAGTTGAAATGCAAGAAGCTTGTTGTTCTTGCGTTACTCATTCATGCAAATTGGCGAAGGTATAATTGAAACAAGGTTGGCTGTGTTTGAGTCAGGGCTGCAGCTGAGCTCAGCTTAAAGGTCGCTGGAAATCAAGTGCTTTGTCAGTGAAGGCGTTCTGACTACGAGCGATTCTAGACACTTGGGAAATGTCCGTCTCCGGCGTGGGTCGTCCTTTTCTATGAAATCTGGTATCTCACGTTGTCCTAAGGTTAAAGACGTCTCTTGGCTCGCTTTTCTAACGCCACCGATGGCTTTTTCTCTGGATGCAGCACAGCTGCTGCTAGCCTGTCTACAGACAGAGATCTTTGTTTTGACTCTCAGCCCTGAACATGCTTGGAAATGAGAACAAATGGCACAGAGTTTACGATTGCACTTTGCAGCCAGAAGAAGCAAGACTTACCCTCTGTCGGAACCCTCCGGAGATGACTTGGAGAGCCACGTTAACACACATGGCAAGAGGCCACCCCAAATCTCAGTGGCCAGTGTGGTTCAAATGAGGCTGACCCCCAGACAGACGCCACTGGCTCCGTGGATAGAGCAAAGATCCTCTGAAAGCAGTGACAAAAAGAGCAGCTGCCTGCAGATCTCGCTGCAGCCCAGGTACGGAGGGGACCTTCCATCCAGCACTGTTGTGGCTGACAGGGATGACACACCCTTTACCTGTGTTTTGAAGGATGGCATTTGCAGCAGCACTGGGGTGGACAGTGAACTGCCCAGTGCCAGTGATGGCAGCCTCTTAGGTACTTCTACTGTGTACAACGGCAGCGTCAGTAACTTCTCAGCCAGTGACAATGGGTCTTACAGCAGCAGTGGCAGTGACTATGGGTCGTGTGCAAGCATCACAAGTGGAGGCTCCTACACCAGCAGTGTTGTCAGCGACAGTAGTGGTTATGAGACCATTTTTAGTGGAAATTTACCTTCTGACAGCACCTCTAACAGAAGTGTGCCCGTCAGTACCACTCCCTGTGAAGTTACGTGCAGAAGTCCCAGTGGGCTTCCCTTCGCCCAGGAGGACCTGGATCGTGGAGTAGAGACTATGAAACTGCCAGTGAGCAGGAATGCGAAGGTCCCACTGAAACGCTGCACGTCTTTGGTCATTTTCCCCAGAAGTCCTTCAAACACCCCGCCTGCATCCCCGACAAGCAGAGGTGCCTACCAGACCTCACACCAGCTGGTTGTGTCTTCTACTGAAACTGCACATCATGAAGATGGTACTGGCACCAAAGGCTTTCTGTCGACAGCTGTCAACGGGCTCCGATTATCTAAAATGGTTTGTACTCCCGGAGAAGTCAGAGATGTACGACCACTGCACGTCAAGGGCTCGTTGCAAAATAAAATTGTCATTTCGAATAATAGGCCCAAACACACTGTGTGTGAGAAGTTGCCTGAGGCATTTTCCTGTGTTTCAGTGCACTTGACCCAACAAAAACCAACCGTGTCAGGTTCTGAAAACTCACATGGTGGCTGCATATCGGAGAGGTCAGAACTCCAGCTCCAGCCTGATTTGGACCATTCCATTCTCACGCAGAGCACATCCCCTTGCTTACCAACCACACCAGACATGGATTACCATATTAACGTCCGTGGAGAGTTGGAAAGACCAAATTCACAGATAAGCAACAGCCATGCTGCTTTACAGAGAAGTGTCTCACTGGGAGGGACATACCCGAATGTGTCCTGCTTATCCAGCCTGAAGCACAGTTGTTCCAAGGGGGGACCATCTCAGTTCCTCATAAAGTTTGCATCTGGGAATGATGGTAAAGTTGATAGTTTGTGCAGAGAGAAAGCCTGGGCAAGTGAGCTGTGTAGTAAGGTAAGTGTCCTTTGGTCTTGCTAACCTCTGATTTAGAGTGGGTTACTGAAATGGAGCTGATTCTAGTGGTATCTGTTCCTTTCTGGCCCTTAGCGAGGGAGTATTTGTAAATCTGAAGAACTCTTCATTTTTTTCCACTCTTTGTTATTTTATTATTTGATAAACTACTAAAAAATAAAGCAACTTTCCTTGGTGGTTTAAATCATAAAATTCTTCTAGAACTGGCTGGGTCTTATTATAACACTCGATTCCAGTGTGTTTTCAAACACAGCCCACTGTGCTCTTTCCACGTTTAGAAATGGCTATTTCCTTCTTTCCCTTCCTTAATCATTGTGAAACAAAGCCATAATGGAGTTCCTTCAAAAATTGTAAGCTCCAAACACAAAAATGAGACTACTTGCTTATAAACGAACATGGAAGAAATCCCTCTCAAATGCATGCACTTAAAAGACTGTTCTATTGCATGTTTTAAGAAGAGGAAAAATAAATAGGTTTCGCGTTTATATATACCCTAACCACAGGAACGTTGTTCCACCCTGTTTTTTCTTGAGTTACCAGTTAATGCTGCCTCCCAAATGTAACTCACTTTTTCAACAGTATTGATTTCTAAGTTTTATGTGTTTGAATTGGCTTAAACTTACTAGGTAGTTCCTACAATTTTCTATTTACTACATTAGTTTGTTGCTTTGACAGTGTTGCTTTATTTTATTAGTAATTTAACTCTAACAGATCGGAGTCAGATTGGCTCTTTGTATAACTTGGCCCTTCCAAAGCATTTAAAGTGTTTTGAACTAAAGTAGCCTTTAAAATTTCTGTATTTGGAAAGTCTTGCTAAATTCCAGGAAATTTAATTGTTTTTCTGACTACATTGGCTCTAGATTGACATTACATGGGTTTTCTTTTTCTATTTTTCATAACATCAAATATCTGTATTGAAATTTGAGGGCAAAATCCAGATAACTTCTAGACAAATGGAGTTAGAAAATTAGGTAATTGGTTTTTCTCTTGAAATCTGGTAAATATTTCTAGGGTTAATCTGTGCAGCTACTTTACTGGGGATAAAGAGAGATCAGATTTCAAATTTTTCTAAAACTGTTTTTAGGGCATTGTGATCAGTTTAATAGCCCCACCACTAGCAACACACCAAAAACAGGAGGGGAACTGGGGGCTTGAAGCAACATTAATAATCTGTTGATTCAGTCAGCGTTACAGACTTATTTTACATTCAAAGTAACCCGAGGAAGCCATTAACCTGGAAAGAATATATAGAAATAGAGTTATAGGAATAACCCCAAGACAGTTGTTATTGTGGTGACATTGTCCTTTGTCACTGACACTTTCCAAAGGGGCATTTTAAATGTATCCAGTGAAATAGAAACTAAATGCTGTTTGCATTGCTAAGAATAGAATATACGTTTTCACAGACCTTTAAACTTTCTAGCAAACTAACATACACTGCTTTGTGGCAAACCTAGCTCTGTGCCCAAGCTCTGTTGGTTGTGAAATAATCCAAAAGGTACCATGTGCCTGAGAACTTTAAATTGTTCTTCAACATTCATTGAACAATTTCCTTATAAAAATACTGTAAGCAATGTAACAGTTATATTTATTGTCTATAGTGTCTAAATTGATCTCAGTGATGAATGGCAAACTGAGCACTTATACTAATTCCTTTTCTAAATGCAGAAGTAATACTGTGTTTATCAATAATAATCTAATTATAGTGGTTTATTGTAACTCACTTATAAATAAACAGCTCCCAAAATATTTCTCATGTCTCCATTTAGTCTGGGTTCCTGTTCAGATCTGCTGAGTCTGCATGCACTTCTAACAAGTTGATACTGGAGTTGCTCTTGGTAATGTCAGCTATCTGTACTGAGCAGTATTGAAATCAAATAGCTGCTTTGGTAAAGAGACCCTGGTGTCTGAGGTAGACAGGCCTCCGGTTCCCTTCTCGTGTGTTTAACTACCAGCTTCCAGCAGCCTCGTGTCGCGTTTATAGCTCTCTTATAATCCCAGCTCGTGAATGACTTAATGTTTAACATCTGTGTTTCGTGAAGATTTCTAACCTGTGTCTGAGACACAGGCTATCCTCTGTCCTTATAACTGAGACTAAAAATTGGCTCTTAAAAACCTCAGCATAGTCTATTTCAGGTATAGAAAAAAAAAAGAAAGAAAGAAAACAACTGTTTGTAGAATTTTCTGAGTGCATCTCAAATGCAATATTATGTAGGTAAAGGCAGTATGAAGGCCTTAGACCTACCAAGAGAGAAAAGTTTGGTGTTTCACTGATGAGTATAGTATCTCCCTGCATAATCAAGAAATAGATTGAGGAGCTAAGGGACATTCACAGTTCTGAAATTAATATCTATTCTAAAATCTGTAGTTAGCTTGCTCATTATTAGTTCTCTTTTCCCTGTGATTATGATCTCAATCTCCTTCGTCATGTTGTTGTGAGGCTACTCAGTGGCTCCATTGCCTTGCTTAGTAACCTTTGAGCCCAACTCTGGCTTGTATGTGTTCACGTTCCTGTTAGAAACTCTTTCTGGTTCTGTTTTTTTTTTTTTGTTTTGTTTTTGTTTTTTTTTAATAAAAGAGTTTTCTGCTCTTGTGTAGTACTTAATCCTAGATAAGCATATTGCTTAAGCCTAAACAGGTAGATCTTAAAATATTTTTATGTCTTCACTATTATAGTCATTATTAATCTCAAGGTGATACAATTCAGTAATTTCTTTAATAATTCCTCCAAAGATCAATGCTTTAAATATTTGCATATTTTAGCATTTTTCCAGTGTTTTATATATTTTATATAGTTTAATGAATATTATCTAAGGACATTAAGTGTATCTTAAAAAATACTTAGTCTTTCCTATAAAAAAACATGTATAAATAAATATCAACCCTGGAACTGTGATCCAGCAATGTAAGTGACCAGTTTTAGAAATGTGGTCCCCAAAAAAAAAATGATTCTTAGACTGGAAGAATTATAATAATGACTTCAGAGGTATTTGGACCTGGCTTATTTGCTTGGAGATACTGTATATTCTCTGCAGCATATCGTTTCTAATTTATTTAGCACACATTTAAATATTGGACAATGGCAATAAGAGGTGGATAAAGTATAATCTTTGTTTAAGGGAACAGTGACATTACAGTAACAGACGTGTGGCATGCAGAGATAGAGGGTTGCGTGAGAAAGAAGCACGGCATTGAAGGGACCTGTTAGAAGCCTTCACAGAGGAGGTGGGTGACCCTAGAGCTGGGTCTTGACAAGTGAATTGAAGTTTCCCAGAAAAGTCCAGACAGATATTCCAGGGCAGGGATTCTCCATTCAGTACTGTTTATTTTGGGGCCAGATAATTCTTTTGTTGGGGGTGGGGCTGTCATGGGCACTGTAAGGTGATGAGCAGCTGACCTGACCATCACACACTAAATACCAGTTGCACACCCTGCCAGAGTGCCAACTGAAAATGTCTTCAGGCATTGCCACATGTTTTCCAGGGCTAAAGTGCTTCCTGGTAAGATCTGCTACTTTAAGCAGAACCCCGGTGCATGAAGAACAGATAGACGTGCAAGGGCCTTATGTTGTAAGTCTCTGGGTATGACTCCATGAGAGGCACAGAGGGCGTGGAAGGAGGCGATCCTTTTGTTGGAATTGCAGTTGAAAAGAAAATCCTTTGTATCCAGTTAACAGGCAGAACTTAGTCAATAGACATCTTTCTTTCTTTCTTTCTTTTTTATGGTTTTTTGAGACAGGATTTCTCTGTATTGTTTTGGAGGCTGTCCTGGAACTAGCTCTGTAGACCAGGCTGGCCTCGAACTCACAGAGATCTGCCTGCTTCTGCCTCCCGAGTGCTGGGATTAAAGGCATACGCCACCAACGCCCGGTGACATTTTTCTTTTTTTTAAAATAATTTTAAGTGTGTGTCTGTGTGTCTATGTCTACGTGGGTATGTATGTGTATGTGAATGCACATGCTCTGAGAGACCAGAGGTCTTGAATCCCCTGGAGCTGGAGTTATAGGAGATTGTGGCCACCTGATGTGGATGCTGGGACCCCAACTCAGATCTTCTGAGCCATCTCTCCAGTCTGCCCCATCAATGGGCATCTTTATTCAAAAGTGTTCACCTTTGTGTTTTTAAAAGATAATTATTTATGGCACTGTTAAAGTTAAGTGAATCTAACTTTTCTTACCTTGTGTGATGGGGTTTTACACTGATGCTGTGAACTATCACAAGATAGGAAGAACAAGAGGTGAGACCAGACTGATTATGAGAAGGAAATGGTGCAGACACAGACAGACCCTGGTAGTGTTATTGGGTACGGCTGCTGGGGTAACAGGAGCTGATCCCAGAGAGGAGGTAGGAGCATGTTCAGAGCCTCGGGTAAGCTCAGTTAGGCCAGCGTTATGTGAGACAAGATAGACTGCTGTATCTAAATTTTGGGGACCACTAATTTTGAGGAGAGGGTGAAAGAAGATAAAAGGGAGACCCAGTGAGCCCGTAGACAGCCCAGGAGAGCTTAGTGACATGGAGTCAAGAGAAGGGTCAGAAGATAGCATGTTCTTCTAAGAGGGAACCCAGTTGTTCACTCCATGTAGTACTTAGGAGCAAGAGTCGGCTAGGAGAACCCCAGGGTTAAAGCCCAAGTGGAAATAATAAAATAGCTAAAAACAGCATAAAAGCCGGCTACAAGCCATCCTAAAACAAGGTATAGTCTAATGACTGTTACGTACAAGATTCAGTTTTGGGTGGTTTTAAAATGAAATAAGATAGACTCCATCTCTAACAAAGGAAGTGCCCTCTCTCTCCCAGGAATGGGAGGGCTCTCTGTTCTTTCACCTTGGAACTTTAGATAAGAGAGTGTTGATAGGAAAATCCAGACTGCATGCTGTGGCAGTGCCATGTGAGGAACAGGAAACGTCAGGTAGGAGCTCAGGACTGCCATGCACAACCACAGTTAATCTTTAAGAATATAATATTTTATTGCTATTTTGAAAT